GGTAAAATATGAAAAATAAAAGCGGACACAACACTGACCCCTGTGGAACACTGTGAGTAACTGAAATGGGCTCAGATTGAACATTCTTAATCTCTACAAACTGTTTTCTGTCATTTAAATAAGATGAAAAACAAAGAAGTTCATTATCAACTACCTCAATACAAGCCAATCAATCCAATAGTACTGAATGACTAAAGGTGTCAAATGCAGCACTAATATCTAAAAGAATAAAAATTGAAAGACAGCCAGAATCAGCTGCAAGAAGAAGATTGTTTGTAATTTTAATAAGAGCTGTTGCTATACTGTTTAGATCTAAAGCCCGATTGAAAGTGCTCATAGATGTCATTACTTTGAAGATTTTTTTTCTTTTTAAGAGTTCTTTTGTTTTCTTTTGAAGAGTTGCTACTGTTCTTTCAAGAATTTTTGAAATAAAAGGAAGGTTGGAAATGGGCCAATAATTATTAAAATCTTTAGGATCCACCCCAATATGTTTAAGAATTGGAATAATAGAAGCCATTTTAATTGATTGTACATTTTAATGATGAAGGAACAGCGGCAGTAGATAATGAAGAATTGATTTTAGCTGCAATAATAAGGGAAATTGAATGGATACAGAATTGAACTAAAACAGTGGGTAAAGCAGGGATAGGCAACGTCGGTCCTGGAGTGCCCCTGTCCTGCAGAGTTGAGCTCCAACCCTAATCAAACACATCTGAACAAGCTAATCAATGTCTTCAGGATTACTAAGGTTAAAGGCAGGTGAGTTTTTTTTTTTTTTTTTTCAGGGTTGGAGCTAAACTCTGCAGGACAGCGGCACTCCAGGACCGACGTGGCCTATCCCTGGGGTAAAGGATCAAGTGAACGTGGAGGACTCAGACTTCATAATCAATTAAGTAATATAATCTTCTGAAGTTAGCTCAAAATTAGAAAAAATACTTACAGACTAACAGATTTGTTGAGTTGAGTTGAGAGAAGGAAACTGTATCAAAATGCTTCAACAGTTTGCAGACACCTGCACGCAAAACTGTGCAAAGTTTAAATATTGGCTATAGACTTTTATTTCAGAATTTAGGCCTATGTTCTGAGTGATTATGAGTGATTGGTATTGTGATATATTTACATATTTATCTCACTATTAATGGATAACAATGTAATTATTGAAAGCTCATCTTAAAAACACAATGAAGCAGATGATCAGCTGGACTGATTTTAGGGGTAAAACTGTTTGTGTATACCGCCCTCTTGTGGTTAGGCGTGGTGCTGCTTGTGTCTGATGTGTCACAACAGAGACCTACATCTAACAAGCATCACAGGATGATGCAAATAAGGTCCAGACACTATGAATCCACTGTGCCTAACACCAGTATACTTATTGCCACTATAATTGAATGTGTCCACTCATGTCATTCTTTACCTATTTTACTGGCCAGTAGCACACCATTCATTAAGGTTCAGTGATGGATTGGTCATGTCCTCCGGCTATTACTTCACTGCAGAGCTGAAATGCTGTGACCCCAGATTGCGAATATCCTGCTGTGCTCTCATTTATATAACTGAAATTTACATCCACACCAGATAGCGTAAATGCAGCGACCTGCCTGGTCTGCGTCACTTCCGATGCTGTATCCCTTTGATAAATACAGCCATTGAATAAAACAAGCTGCAATCATGCGTAACTGAGACAGCCAGGGCCTCATTCGGAGTGGAAGCTGTTTTCCCTCTAAATGTTGACTTTCCAGTCCTGAATAAGAACTGTATTCTGTAACTGTATTCTTAGAAACTACTGAATGTTGTTTTACTCAATATAGTAACTTTTAATCGATGTATAAGCTTTGTAAAGTTGTTGTGAACTATTTATATTGTGACGAGTGACATACAAATCAATTCTGAATGAAAATTCAATGGACTACGCAAAACTGTAAAGCAGAATTGTGTATTCTAGATGTTTAAATCCATGGCCAGAGTCAGATATACTGACTGCTACATTTTGTGGCTGTGTGAAATAATTAGTAGACTTGTGGATGAAAGAATCTCTAAATTTATTTAATTTTAAAACCAAGTGTGACCTTTTTATATTGTAGTGTGAACATTTTATCTTTTAAATAGAAACATTCCATTTCCTGTAGTCTACTGCAGAGCATTTTTCTCTGGTCTACGGAAAAGATGTGGACTGTTGTAGTTGCCATGGTTTTTAATTACCAAACATAAGATACAATACTCAAAATCACTTCTCTGATACATATGTAGGCTATAGGTAGATTCCCCCATTTGACTGCGCCAAGCATGTAGAAGCGTCCGCCATCTTTAACTGTCAACTTGATGTAATTCACCATAATAATCAATGAATATTCGAAAATGCCACAATCCTGCACAGCCGATGGTTGTAAAAACCGCCGGGATTTAAATTCCCGAAGAAACGGGATAACCTTTCACAGGTGAGAATGTGTTGGTTTGTTTTTTTAAATGTATTAACTCAATATTACAAGTTTTGAAACATTGGTAACTTATGTTACTGTTATGGTGAATGACGTCCATTTGACCCTTCGAATATGGCGGACGGTTTACGCCCGTTTCACACCGCACGCGTAAGCAGAGCAGTGGTTACGCTCCGTTTACGCGTGCGGTGTGAAACGGGCGTTACGTATAGCGGCCCATGGAAACAGTCGCTAATGAGGCATCTATATACATATCTATGTCTGAGACATCTGACCTACCATGCTGGTATGGTATGACCTACAACGCTTGTAGGACTTTTTTTCTGTATTAAAATGTATAAATAATCACACTTTGTAATTAAGTGTATTTAATGTAAAAAATATTTTAATACTGTATCATTCATGAAAAAATTTTTTTTTTTTTTAACAGGTCACATTTAGGCTATCTATTGTTCATTATATTGTTATATATCTATAGTTATATACTGCTCATTATATAACTATTGTTGTTGAGTGCAATACAAAACAATATGTATTTAAAATGTTCAGTGGCATTTCAAATGTTTATAAACAGTTGGAATATATCATCACATTTCAAGCGGTTTTTGTGGTCATTCTTTTGTTTTAATTGAGCTTATGCGTATATTTCATGTGCTGCACATGTTTGTTAATTTCTGTTTGTTTCTAAAGAGGAAAAGGAGGTACAGACCAGCTTCACCTCAAAGGAGCAAATTCTTTACCAGGTGTGCACCAAGTTTCATTGTACATGTACAGTGACAATAAAGAACTTAATTAAGAATCGACTGCATGGTTTCATTTTGTTCATGCAATGTATTCACCTACACCACCATGCATGGGGCAGTGTCATACAGGAAATTCTGCACGCTAAGAAAGTGAAATTGCTCAACAGAACCGTCTCAACAAACAAGTGTAGGTGACCTGAATGCTGCTCCAAACCAAACGTGCTGCTCAGAGGTACGATATTATATGCATTCCAGCACATGTATAATTGATCATTTGGATAGTTAAGATATGTAGTAGAATATAGTGTTGCTAGAAGAAAATGAAGCATTTTAAGAAGGAGTTTGATGACTTTTAGTGCATTGTGAGCAGATGACAAATGAGCTACAAGGTGTGGACATGGCAAAACATACGTAACAACATACTCAAAAAATCAATACAACCCGCCTTTCTGTAAGGCTCTCAGCAACCTCAGAACATCTTGCCCTCTTCCTTTCTGAGACTGACACTGAGAGAGAGAGAGAGAGAGAGAGAGAGCGAGAGAGAGAGAGCAAGTTATCGTGCTAAAGGAATCAAGCTCATCAATACTGGATACTTCATCTAACGGATTAAAAAAACAGAAATTAATCGGTGAGTACAAATGTTTCATACTTTACTCTTATTAAGTTTACAGCAATATTTAAATAAATTCAGATTTTGCTATTGTAGCAAATCACATTAAAACCTGTAAAGTTGTGTTTTTGCTGCCAAATGCCTTAGGTTTATTTAATTTTTTATGTTTTTGTGATCTACTTTAGTCCATATTTGTGCAGATCAGTTAACGTTTGTCTTTTTAAAACTGATAACATGTTTTCGCTCAACCCACAACATGCTGAGTAAGTGCTAAATCTCATAATGTAGTAAGTGAGATGATCTAAAGATGGTGTCTGCGTAATGTACAGTTTCTGCTGTAATGTTATCTGAACCCATTTACAGAGAGGCCATGCCATAATACTTTACTAAGTAAGACTATCCAGCATCTTCTAATTGCATATTAGGTCATCATCTAGCATAAAACAACATTAACTAATATAATTTGTCCATCAAATATCTGTTAAGAGTCTTTAACAAGCTGTGCTGCCTCACCCATTGAGGAGTGCTTTCACATACAGACTGAATATGCTCAGTTCTGTTCCTGATTTAAATATATTTCTAACATCCTTGACACCCTTTCTTTACTTTGATATGCACATTAAACATTAATCCTCGTTTTGACAAATCTGAATAATGTTCCATGTCTCAGAGGTCTATTTTATGGTTATCTATTTTTTATAGTACGTGTATTATTAGTGAAACAAATTTTGCATTTTCTTCGATACTGTGACTTCCTGTCACCAAGTTTCCATCTGAATTGTTTTTGTCCCCTTCCTCTTTTGAACCAAAAAAGGCACATTAAGATAATCCATTAGCTCTTATTCTCACAGCTCTAGCTGTTATTAGAACTATTTTATAAATTAAGTATAATTTGATTGGTCTCAGCAGAAAGAACAATCACTGAAAGAGCATCCAATGATTCATGTAAAAATGAGCTGTCTTTTAAACACAAAACCAGCTTTGTGAGAGATGCATGGTAAAACGTCACAAAACAGATCACATGTATGCTGAGAAACCCGGTCAAAACATAGATGAGGGTTAGTAGCTTATTTCTATGGACATTTATCTATTTTGGCCAGTGTGTTGGACAGTGTAATGCAGTTTCTTAATGCAGGATTAATTTCCTCTCACTGCCATTTAGAGAATGTAATTCTATATGAAGTCATTTACAAAGAGGCTAAGTTATAAAACATGAAACGGCTCACCGACTCTCAATGTAATTGTATTCAAGAACAAATATACAGTACACTTCCATTCAAAAGTTTGGGGTTGGTAAGATTTTTTAAAGAAAATGATCATAATCACCAAGGCTGCATTTATTTGATCAAAAAGACAGTATAAATACTAATATTGTAAATTATTATTACAGATTAAAATGACTGTTTTCTATTTTAATATATTTAAAAATTTAATTTATTCCTGTGATAGTAAAGCTGAATTTTCAGCAGCCATTACTCCAGTCTTCAGTGTCACATGATTCATCAGAAATTAGAAATATGTTGATTTGGTGCTCAAAAAAAAATTTCTTATAATTATCATCAGTGTTGAAACAGTTGTGCTGTATAAATTTTTTTGTGGAAACAGTGACACTTTTTTCAGGATTTTTTAATTATTAAAAAGTTCAAAAGCATTTATTTGAAATATAAATCTTTTATAACGTTATCATGTCTTTACTGTCACTTTTAATCAATTTAATGTGTACTTGCTGAATAAAAGTATTAATTAAAAAGAAAAAAAATCTGACTGACCCCAAACTTATAATGACTAATATTTATTAAATAATGAAACAACTGTTTTTATAACTTCTTTAGATAAGTCCAATGGAAAGACAGCTCTGCTGAAAGCACTTTTAAATTTGAAGGAAGGTGAGAATGACACTATTGAACATCTGCTGGAAATTGCAGAGAAAACGGGAGATTTAAAAGATTTTGTCAATGCTGCCTACACAGACAGTTACTACAAAGGTCAGAGACAGCTTCATTTTACATAATGTTTTTATTAGTGTAATTATTATTAGATCTAGTTTTATATTAGCTAACATTAGTCATCTATTTTTTATAAATCAACAGAATATTGACCATATTTAACATGTCCAACCTATTCATTTTGCAAAGTTATCGACTGATCTATTTGAGACAGGTCAGACAGCACTCCATGTTGCAATTGAACAGAGGAGTGCAAAATTTGTACAGATGCTGGTTAAAAAAGGGGCTGATGTCCATGCTAAGGCCTGTGGGAAATTCTTTCAGCCCAATCAAGAAACATGCTTCTATTTTGGTAGGTCTATTGATATGGTTAAATTTTTGCAATATTGATATAATTTAAACAGTGGAAATGCTGCATTTTAAATGCATATCCTTTTCAAATTCTACTTAATGAATTGTTACTGAACCACTTTTGTGGGTACCTAGGCTTATCTGTCTCTTTTACAACTTTTTTGCTCAGGTGAGCTGCCCTTGTCTCTGGCCGCTTGCACTAATCAGCCTGCCATTGTTGACTTCCTTATGAACAATCCATACCAGGCAGTGGATGTCAGGGAGAGGGATTCTCATGGAAACACGGTGCTTCACGCATTACTATCCATAGCTGATAACAGTCCTAAAAACACAGAGTTCGTCATTGCCATGTATGACCACATCTTATTCAAAGCCAACCAACTTCACCCCAAGATCAAGCTGGAGGAAATCGAAAATAATGAAGGACTCACCCCACTCACATTAGCTGCCAAAACAGGAAAAGTGGGGGTAAACCTTAATTTTTCTGGTGTCTACTGATTGTTGAATGTCCAAGAATATGAACAATTTATGTCTTGCAAAATGCCAGTATTTATTTGAAGGAGTGATTCGTTTGAAGCAGTGCGTATTTCTTTAAGTGTCAGTTCTGTATTCTGTTTTTGGATGTTCCTGATTTTGTGTAGATGTTTAGTCCTCATGTGATTTGAGATGGTATTTCCCTTCAGCACATGGCATTAAATCAGACACCACACTGATTCATAGCCATGTAGTCTACAGTGACAGTCATAACCAGGGCTCTCAAGTCTCACGCATTCACCGTGAGACACAAGCATTTCAACCAGATCACACACTCACATGCCACATCTTGTATTACTCACGCTGAGAAGTAAGGGATAACTTGTCCCGCAATATATAATGGATGAGGCGCAGGCATACAGAGAGAAGTTTCTACAGAGTTATACAGAGTTAAATGCCACCTACCAACCAATCAGAAATTAGAATGTTGTTGTTTCCGCGTAAATTACATGATCCCGGTGCAAGCACATTTGTTACTAGGAAACATGGATGCGCACACACACGGAGTGTATGTTAGAAGAGCAAGGTTTGATAAATGCTGTAGGTGACCCCTTCATTTAACAATATATATATTTTTAAGCATTTTCATTTTACGATTCCTGGATGACTTCACTTGCATGTGATCAAAGATAGTGGGAGCTGATGTTGGGGCATATAGCCAAATTCATGCTAAATTATTATTGATACAGTCAAAAACTCTTGAACTGTTTTCTTTGCAACCAGAAGCTTTAACTTTACTTTGGCTACCTGAAACTAAGGAAAGGACTAGAGATGTTATAACAGTTGGTAAATCTGATAAAAGACAGACAAATTCTTCCAAATAAAATAAATTGTTTTATGTGTTTCAAAAATACAAATGTATCAAAAATAAAAATACATTTGGCCCCAAACGCTTTTTTCTGTTGTGTTTGTTGCACATTTTGATGCCTTGATGACAGGGGTCGGGGCTCCTTAAAGCACTGTGGCTTCCCCACTCAAATGCAGATGCAGAGACAGTGTTCTTCATGGTGGGTTTGAACAAAACCAAAACTAGGAAGGAACAGTTTGGCTCTGGACGGAACGCTATCATCCATTATGATGGCGAAAATGGCTGGCCTTGTTTCTATTTGTGCTGGTCAATTATGAACAATAGGTAAAATTGAACTGCTAGCAAAAACTTGAGAGAATTGTGCGGGGCTGAGGGGCTGCTGCTGCAAATATTTGAGTGGCTCTTCCCATAACAGATGTCTCACTCCAAACTTTTGTTAGGCCTATAACTCGAGAGCCCTGGTCATAACCTTTACTTTAACCTAAAGTTTTTTATTTATTGTATTGCTTTTGTTCTATATTTTAGTTGATGCTGATGCTGTTGCTGGCTTGGCTGATTACTAAAATCAGTGCACAGCCAAAAGAAAGGAGACTAATATTCAAACATATTTGTCAATCTTTTTTAATTTGCATAGGTTGTAAAGAGCCTGATTAAATCATTCAGATTTCATTCCTCATTTGTTAACTAGCTGTTAAAGCACATCGTGCAGCGGGAGTTTAAGGGGTGCAAACATCTGTCACGGAAGATCACGGAGTGGGCCTACGGTCCAGTGTGCTCGTCTCTGTATGACCTCGCCTCTCTCGACACCTATGAGAAGAACTCCGCGCTGGAGATAATCATTTATGGCAGTGAGATTCCTGTGAGATGACATGCTGTTTACTTGACATTAAATGCATTAGATTTTACTACTTCATTAAAGCAAAATGTTTCATTATAAAGAAGCTTTATTGATTTTGATAAAAGCTGTTGATAGCAACATGTTATTTCATCTGATTTCAGAATCGCCTCGAGATGCTCCATATTGAGCCATTTAACAGGCTGATTGAAGAGAAGTGGGAGAGATTTGCGAAACGGATGTTCTTGTTCAACTTTATCGTTTATGTTATCTACCTTTTTATCCTCACTGCTGTAGCTTATCACCGCGAAGAAGGGAAGGTAGGTATACAGGCAGTAGGCTATATTGCCAAAAAACCCGCCCAAAACTTTATCTGGCATAATAATGTGATAGAATTTTATTGCCATGTCAATCATAAGGACCATTTTTAACTCCTTAAAACAAAATAAAGATGACAAAATAATATAAAAATGTTCCCAGGAAAACAGATCAAATCAGGGCAAATACATTTAAGATAATTAACAAATATAAATGTCCAGGCACCAGCCTATGTCAAAACGCAATCAAGAAATTAATCGATACCTTCTGAAAAACACATGCATCATTTTCAGTGTCAGCATTCAGAATAAGCCAGTTTAAATGGAAAAAGTGATAAGTGATTGGAAGCAATTAGCAAGTATTTCACACTCATTCATGCACACACCATGACAGTCAAAACTGTGTCTTTCATTGACAGTGCACGATAATCCGATGACAAAAAAATCAACAACAATTGTTTCGTGAAGTACATTGTAGATTGTTTTTTATTTTATTTTGAATGGCTACGTGCTCACACAGACATTCACAGGTTCATTTTGAAGTATAAAGCCTGGCTCACACTATAGGATTTTTAGCCCCGATTTCCCCCTCCTGAGAATCGGAGCAAAAATCTTGTTGAGCCCCTCGATCGGTCCCGATGTTTGGCACGGATTATCTGGTAATGTGAGGCGTTCACCGATCGAATCTTGCACCTCCCGATCTGCTCGCACACAAATCGGGGCCGCCCTGATCATAACAAACATGTTTGATATTTAGGATTTAAATCGGGATGATGACGGCTATATGATTACGTCAGTAATATATTTCACAATAGCCAATGCGTGACCGCAAACCAGCTGCTGTATGGCTCCTTTGGATAGTGGAGATGGAGGAAACTGCTTGACGTTTTATAGTAACACGACTGTCTGTATAATGTGTCGAAAACGTATCACAACCGTAAGGAGAAAGAGAAGCGCTGGAGTGAAATCGCCTGCCCTGATCCTAACAAACATGTTTGATATTTAGGATTTAAATCGGGATGATGACGGCTATATGATTACGTCAGTAATATATTTCACAATAGCCAATGCGTGACCGCAAACCAGCTGCTGTATGGCTCCTTTGGATAGTGGAGATGGAGGAAACTGCTTGACGTTTTATAGTAACACGACTGTCTGTATAATGTGTCGAAAATATTAGCCATTGGCTAATATTAGACATCATTTAGTCGCCCAGAGTGAAGATTTATGCCGAGTTCACACTGCACGATTTTAGCCCGATTTTTCACTCGCCGACAGGTTTTGCGAAATCGCCGACAAATGCCCGAAATCGGTGCTCGTTCACACGATCAAGTGACAATCACGCAGTGTGAATTATCAAAGAGCGATCTGAGGGAATCGCCAATGCCAGCGAAATATTTGGCATGCTAAATATCTGGAGCTGTCGGCGATTCACAATCCCGCTGTGTGCAATTATTTCTGACTGAAAACTACATCGGCGATGGCCTACAGCCAATGAGAGACCAAGATACAGGGCAGAGGGAAGTTCAGGGAGGAGTTACATCATACAGGAACAAGCACAAACATTTGCTTGACCAGCCACAACATCATCATAACAGTTACTGCAAAATAATTTACCTCCAACTCTCTTTGCAGAACACCCAATCCCTGTTCCCTGCATCTCCCTCCTGCATAATCTGTTTTTCTTTTTCTCCTTGTAGCTGGAAATCAGCTCACAGACAATTTGCGGGCTATATATTTTTAAATAATTCCAGTCTCGCTCGAAAACTGCGGTCTGACGCAAGCGGGTTCAGGCGTTATTTCCTTATCACGTCTCGCGTGTGTTTTGTTGTGAAACGTAGTTTGCGGACCAGGCAGAGCTGTCAGCGATTCTTCCCATTGTGAAGTCATGCAATGTGAAACCCCCTGTCGCCGATCCATCGTGCAGTGTGAACAGCAGCAACTGAATGCTACCCAAGAGCGTCACGCAGCGTGAAAACAACGGCGATCCGACGAGTTTGAAAATCGTGCAGTGTGAACTCGGCAAAAGTGAGCACTGAGCAGTCGTTCGGCATCTCCTGTGTGAATGCAGAATTCATACTTACCGGCAGATGTCGCAATTTTCTGCCTTTTATTTATTTAGTACATTTTTATAGCAATGCAGGCCATAGCAAGGGAATCCTGATGAGTCAAATTGCAAAATGAAACAGGATGGACATAAGTGTTTTGCATAACAGCTATGGCCTACTAATATCTTTTAAAGTCTGTAAGTATGTCGTCCTTTGGAATATTTTGGACATCTGGAATCTGCAGGCCAAGGTGACATCTAAGTTTTAGGTGAAAAATGTAAAAAGGTTAGATATACAGTAACTTGCCATGTGTATTACTTATTTTATTCTTTTCTTTTTCTTTTCTTTTCTTTTTTATTTTATTATTATTATTTTTTTGTATTTTAATAGATATATGAACAATTATATCATACAGAAACAAGCACAAACATTTGCTTGACCAGCCACAACATCATCATAACAGTTACTGCAAAATAATTTACCTCCAACTCTCTTTGCAGAACACCCAATCCCTGTTCCCTGCATCTCCCTCCTGCATAATCTGTTTTTCTTTTTCTCCTTGTAGCTGGAAATCAGCTCACAGACAATTTGCGGGCTATATATTTTTAAATAATTCCAGTCTCGCTCGAAAACTGCGGTCTGACGCAAGCGGGTTCAGGCGTTATTTCCTTATCACGTCTCGCGTGTGTTTTGTTGTGAAACGTAGTTTGCGGACCAGGCAGAGCTGTCAGCGATTCTTCCCATTGTGAAGTCATGCAATGTGAAACCCCCTGTCGCCGATCCATCGTGCAGTGTGAACAGCAGCAACTGAATGCTACCCAAGAGCGTCACGCAGCGTGAAAACAACGGCGATCCGACGAGTTTGAAAATCGTGCAGTGTGAACTCGGCACAAGTCGAACACACATAATGCCGTATGCTGGATAAGCGCGCTCATTGCTGCGTGTACTTATGATTTTATTTTCACCACCTGCGAACTCATGAAGAGCTCATAAAAGGCACTTTACCTCCTCGTTGATCCACGTTTGCCCTCTGCTCATTTTGTTTTGGATGGTACCGCTCGTTCCGCGTCGTTAAATCATGTCGCATAGCGTCGCATCTTGATATTACTTCCTGTTTTTGGTTCGTTTATAAGTGTTTGGTCCATGTTGCGTTCATATTTCATTCGAACCGCACCAGAGTTTGGTGCGCACCAGGATTCGAATGGCAGCGTTCACACTTACTCAAACGAACTGCACTAACAGAGCAATCGCACCAGGTTCGTTGGTTTAATCGAACCAAACATGACAAGTGTGAACACACCATTAAAGACTCCTAAACAGACAACTTTGCTCATGTGCAAATGTAACGGAGGCCAGCGGGTAGGTGCTGTGCAGGTAAACCTTGGTGCGCACCAGGATTCGAATGGCAGCGTTCACACTTACTCAAACGAACTGCACTAACAGAGCAATCGCACCAGGTTCGTTGGTTTAATCGAACCAAACATGACAAGTGTGAACACACCATTAAAGACTCCTAAACAGACAACTTTGCTCATGTGCAAATGTAACGGAGGCCAGCGAGTAAGTGCTGTGCAGGTAAACCTCACTCCCCTGATCTCAAGAGACGCACTAGCGACTGACGCTAGGGGCTGCAGTCTTTAGCCTCCTTGTTATTGCGTCCGCCTCCCATGCCGGAGACCCACTCGGAACGAGAACGAGGTGTGGCGGTGAGGACCCGGGAGAGAGGGGTTACACAAACAAGTGCTCGCACAACCGTGGTTGATTTCATTTCCCACTCAAGTAAAGGCTGGGGTGTGCGCGATATATATCGTCTGCGCCAATATTGTAAGTAAGTGTTGTTTTAACGATGTGCGATCTGACATTAACGAGTATATCACAAAAACAAAACAAAAAAACACTCAGAGAGTGCACGCATACACAGTGTGATTTAGTCTATTAAAATGCATTTAGAATGCCGCCCAAAAGATTCAAGATAAGAGGCAAAATGCCTCTGCATGTTTTATATTTATGTCATTTAATAGGCTATAGCTAATCTATATCACACTAAGAATGCCATTTTTTCTCCAGATATCAGCATGATAACAAATGTAATATTGATTTTATACAAGTTTAATAAAGTTAATAAAGTATTAAGTTACTTACATTTTAGATGTCTGTTTTGGTTTTGAAAATGGTTCCAAACAGCACAAAATGAATCCGATTTTGAACGAATGATTCAGTGATTCACTCATTAAAACATGTCAAATGTTTAATTCCTGAATGAATTAACCTTTTGAATCAATCGATTTAGGGTGTGTTCATACTTGTAGTTCGGTTTGTTTGGTTCATTTGGTCCGGACCAAAAAGGAAAATGATACATTGGTTCTGGTCCGCTTAGCGTTCACATTGGCATTTTTGACAGCGATCCTAAAGACACCGAAACTAAAGGCATAGTGATACGTTCACAACCTGATTGGTCGGCTTGATTGACGTATATATCGTGACGGAACTCACCGAACACCCCAAACAAAAATGCCGCCCAAAAGATTCAAGATAAGAGGCAAAATGCCTCTGCATGTTTTATATTTATGTCATTTAATAGGCTATAGCTAATCTATATCACACTAAGAATGCCATTTTTTCTCCAGATATCAGCATGATAACAAATGTAATATTGATTTTATACAAGTTTAATAAAGTTAATAAAGTATTAAGTTACTTACATTTTAGATGTCTGTTTTGGTTTTGAAAATGGTTCCAAACAGCACAAAATGAATCCGATTTTGAACGAATGATTCAGTGATTCACTCATTAAAACATGTCAAATGTTTAATTCCTGAATGAATTAACCTTTTGAATCAATCGATTTAGGGTGTGTTCATACTTGTAGTTCGGTTTGTTTGGTTCATTTGGTCCGGACCAAAAAGGAAAATGATACATTGGTTCTGGTCCGCTTAGCGTTCACATTGGCATTTTTGACAGTGAACCTAAAGACACCGAACCTAAAGGTATAGTGATAGTGATCACAACCTGATTGGTCGGTTTGAATGACGTATATATCGTGATGGAACTCACCGAACACCGTGTATGATATCAAAGCACCCAGTAACTGATCGGTCTGTCTCAGCGCCGCTTTAAGTCTAACACACCTAATGCCGTCTGCTGGATTAAGTGTGCTCATTTTTGCGTGTACATATAATTTTATTTTCACCACCTGCAAACTCACAAGGAGCTCATAAAAGGCACTTTACCTCATCGTTGCTCCACGCTTGCCCTCTGCTCATTTTGTTTTAGTTACACTGCATCGTCAAATCATGTTGCATAGCGTCGCATCTTGTCATTACTTCCTTTTTTGGTCTGTGTTGCGTTCATATATAATTCGAACCACACCAGAGTTAGTTTGGAAGCGTTTGGTGCACACCAGGTTTCGGATGGCAGCGTTCACACTTACTCAAACTAACTGCACTAACAGAGCAATCGCACCAGGGTTCGTTATAGGGTTCGAACCAAACATGACAACTGTGAACGCACCCTTAATCGCAATGACTCACTCATTAACAGTGACTTGCTGCCACCTACTGGCGGCTTTAAATTCACATTTCAAGTATCTTTTCATGTTATTTTCAATCTTCAATCTCTTCAATCTATCAAATATCAATATTCAATGTTTTATGTTTAAAACAAAACATTATTTATGCATTTTTAACTGCTGGTTAAATGCATCCATGTCCCCTCTGAGCTGCATTAAACAGTCTGCATAAATGAATCTAAATACTATTTCAGTTGCAGATTCCATATTTGCAAAAACTTTTAATTTTTATGTATCTTATGTTGGAATGAAAGAGTGTTTGTATTGGATGAAGTGGCTCTTATGCTAACCAAAAGATACAAAATGGAAGAAAATGTTAAAACTGAATACAATCTTGCTACTCAAACTGTGTATAGAACAATTTTTAATATTTATTTGCTCCTTTTCTATTTTGAATTTACTTGTACTTTTACTTTCAATACTTAAGTAAGTTTAATATTTAAAAAATACTTTTCAAACTTAAGCACAATAAATATCACATACTTTAAAACTTTTACTCAAGTAATATTCGATACCCTGATTTTTTTTTTCTTTCCCATTTCTCTAAGGATATGACTCAAAAATGTAATGAGGAAAGCAGGTCTTTGAGCTCTGAGACCTTCTCCAAAGTGTCATTTACCAACCTCAGGAGACAAGCAGTCCCTGACCTCTCAACTGAGATGGGCATGAACATATTCAAAAAGGTATGCAGATTATTTTTTATGCATAGTTTCAGACAGTAAACCAATATGATATATTTTAGTTTTTGCAAAACCTTGATATCACATGCAAGGTTACCTTTTCTTAATTTTCTTGACATTTAAAGTCCGCGTGAACTGGAAGTTGCTGCTGACTTTATTTCAGTGAAGTGACGTATTTCCAGCTGAAACGGAATATTGAGAAGAGGGCGTGGTTTTACCACACTTTCTCACCTCTCACTCATAGCAAACTAATGGTTGGAGGGGTGTTTTTAAGGATATTCTGCCCAAGCTGTCAAACTGACGTCATCAGAGAAGTATTCCAGAGCGGAAGTAAATGTTCAGATTTTGATTAAAGATTATCAAGACAAACAATTTTTTTCAGCGGATTAACTTGCACGGATTAATTGTTCACATCAAGACTAGTAATGTGCGCTAGTAAAGTAAATAAAGTCAATTTTGATTTCATGCAGACTTTAAGTGTGGAATTCAAGTACTTTATCCACCACTGATATCAACTAAGCCTTCGCGTCATCTCCCTCCAGGTGTAAAGGCCTGTTTACACCAAGGACGATAACTATAAAGATAACGATAAAGATATAGTTCTAAAAATCGTTCTCAATATTAAAGAATAGCAGAGTCCACACCACAGCTATAATGATAAAGGGAAGGCACAGAGAAACGATATCGTTGGAATCACTTTCAGAACGATTTTTTTCCAGCTGATGGACGATAAAAACATTGACAGCCAATCAGAATCAATCCTGCTATAACAAGCTTGAGAATTTAAAGCGGTCATGAATTGAGAAATCAACTTTTACTTGAGCTTTTGATGTATAAGAGATCATGGTACTAAAAGAATATACTGTAAGTTTCAGAACTGAAAACGTCCTTGTTACTGAAATAAAAGCTTTTATTGACACCAGGCCCAGCGAACGCCAGATCCTGGAATGTGCCTACCAACACCGCCTCCACAGAAGAATATCAACGCCTAATTCTGTAGCCCCGCCCACTGATTCGTGCATACCATAGTAGGGAAATAAAGTAAACGGCGCTAAACCTGATTGAACAACCAAGCAATAAACATGCTGTTAAAGATCCACAAAACATTTCTCCAGAATTCCTCTGGCTTGTCCACATGATCTTTAGCAAACTGCAGATGGGCAGCAATGTTCTTTTTGGAGAGCAGTGGCTTTCTCCTTGCAACTCTGCCATGCCATGCCATTGTTGTTCAGTGTTCTCCTGATGGGGGACTCATGAACATTAACATTAGCCAATGTGAGAAAGGCCTTAAGTTGCTTAGAGGTTACCCTGGGGTCCTTTGCAACCTCGTGGACTATTACATGTCTTGCTTTTGGAGTGATCTTTGTTGGTCGACCACTCCTGGGTAAGGTAACAGTGGTCTTGAATTTCCTCCATTTGTACACAATCTGTCTGACTGGATTTGTGAAATCAAACCTCTTTAGAGAGGTTTTTGTAACCTTTTCTAGCCTGATGAGCAACAGCAACTCTTTTTCTGAGGTCCTCAGAGATCTCCTTTGTACATGCCATGACACACTTCCACAAACATGATCAGACTTGGATAGATCCCTGTTCTTTAAATAAAACAGGGTACACACTGACATTAACTGCCAATCCTAGAGATTCACATACTTTTGCCACTCACAGATATGTAATATTGTATCATTTTCCTGAATAAAAAAATGACAAAGAACATATTTTTGTCTGACTTGTTTGGGTTCTCTTTGTCAACTTTCAGGACTTGTGTGAAATTTTGATTATGTTTTGTGTCATATTTATGCAGAAATATAAAAAATTCTAAAGGCTTTACAAACTTTCAAGCAGCACTGTATATATATATATATATATGGAAAATATGCATACTGACATGAACCAGACATTGAACTTATTCCAGTTCAGTGTCTGATTGAAAGCTATGCTTTAATGTGTCTTTGTGCATGCTTACTGTGAATGTTTTATTATTTAATTCAACCCCACTCTTTTCTTTCAGCCACTAAAGCCTCCATATCCTTATAGAAAAGATAGCAAAGGCTACCAACTTCTGACAGGACACATCATAACTACCATTGGAGCACTTTACTTCTTTATTAGAGGGGTATGTATCTAATGCTGTTGATTTAAAACAAATTTACATATAACTTTCATATTCAAAGTGACCTCTCCCCCCCCCCACTT